CTTCTGTCATTGCTCACATCGGTACAAGGGAAATGGCCAACTTAGATCCCTGAATTGATATGCATGACCACCGACCTGATCCTATTGACTAGTTGATTGAGTTTCAGATTGGAAAAAAGCCAAACCAATGCACCAAGATTGGCAAGCACATTGAACCTGATGTCCAAGGTAAAATCATGTCAATACTTACTGAAAATGCTGATCTTTTTGCATGGAGTAGTGCAGACATGCCTGGGATAGATCCCAATTTCATTTGCCACATGTTATCAATCCACAAAGAAGCACAACCTATATCTCAGAAGCAAAGAAAGATTGGCGGTGAAAGAAGAGAAGCTGTCAAGAAGAGTACGGCAATGCAAGGCCTGTCAAGAGTTTGGCAATCTACACCAGTTACCCCCAACAACCTTACACTCCATGCAGTCAGCATGGCCCTTTGCGTGGTGGGGGATGGATATTCTTGGTCCTTTTCCAATAGCCAAAGGTCAACTAAAGTTCTTATTAGTTGGCATTGATTACTTCACAAAATGGATTGAAGCTGAAGCCTTAGCCAAAATCACAGCCAATGTCCAAAGGTTTACATGGAAGAAAATTATCTGTAGGTATGGCCTACCTCGTGCTATAACCACCGACAATGGAAAGCAGTTTGTTGACAAAAATTTTGAGCAATTTTTGGGGCAACTCGGAATCAATCATAAAGTTACTTCGGTTGAACATCCACAAACGAATGGTCAAGTTGAAGCTGCCAATAAGGTTATCCTTAGAGAACTCAAGAAACGACTTGGCTCATCAAAAGGAGAATGGGTGGACGAGCTGCCTGGTGTTTTATGGGCCTATCATTGCACACCACAGACTACCACTCAAGAAACCCCATATAAGTTGAATTATGGGTCCGATGCCATGATACCAGTAGAGGTCGGGGAACCGAGTCACCGAAGATTAACTTTTGATACAACTCAAAATATGGAAGCCCTGAGAACCGATCTCGACCTCATAGATGAAACCAGAGAGTGTGCCCGAGTTCAAGAAGAGGCATGCAAGCTCAGAGCATCTCGGAGATACAATTCCAAGCTTAAGCCGAGATCCTTCCGAGAAGGGGACCTTGTTTGGAGAGTTGTCGGAGAGGCTAGAAAAGACATGTCAGCGAGAAAATTCGCAGCTAATTGGGAAGGCCCATTCCGTATCTTGGAATGTCTACAAAATGGTGCCTACAGATAATAGAGTTGGGTGGAAAAGTTATCCCAAGAACTTGGAATGCTACTCATCTGAAATTTTATTATAGCTGAAATTTGTAAACCCAAGTATTGTACTCTTTTTCCTACTTCAGTCTTTTTTCCCAATAAAAAAGAAAGGGTTTTGGCTGAAGAGGTTTTAACGAGGCATACCTGGGGAAGTAGGAGAGATGTAATTGATATCCAATCTCATTCATAATATACATTCTCTCTTCTCTTAACTTAGTTCTTTCTCTTTTTATTTTATTTAACTATTACAGTTTCTGCCCCCGACATTACATGAAATTAATCGAATATTAATCAAATCGGCCAAATTTGAGCCAATGTTGATAAGATTGGCCAAGTCTGAGCCAAATTTAACAATTACTCAAATCAGCCAAGTTTGAGCCAATGTTGATAAGATTGGCCAAGTCTGAGCCAAAGTTAACAATTACTCAAATCGGCCAAGTTTGAGCCAATGTTGATAAGATTGGCCAAGTTTGAGCCAAAGTTAACAATTACTCAAATTGGCCAAGTTTGAGCCTAACAGTCACTAAAATTGGCCAAGTTTGAGCCCCACAATTAATAAAATTGGCCAAGCTTGAGCCAATGTTACCAAACTTGGCCAAGTCTGAGCCAACGTTAATAAAATCTTCCCGCCAAGTCTGAGCCTAGTAATCAATAAAATTGGCCAAACCTGAGCTTAACAATTAACAAACTTGGCCAAGTCTGAGCCGAAGATTAATAAAATTCACCCAAATTCAAATCTCCTATGATTACGTAATTCATTATATACGTTTTATATGATTTATCTTACTTCACACCACATTTACTATCACTTATAGCTTGCAAAAATTTTATCTATTCGCAGAGAACTCAAATAGAAACCAAACGTTGCCACTGCTATATTAAGTCTAATAATTTGCTTCTCAAGATGCCAAATGTACTTCATATAAAACAAAACAATAACAAAACAAAACATCAACAAAACACAGCCCATACAAGGCGCTATTACAATTTTTTATCATATCAGTCTTCACTGCTCATATCATCAGGCAACTCATCTTCGTTGATCAATTTTCCTTCCCACACATCCTTGTTGACATCTAATTCATGAAGATTGATTTCTGGAGACACTATCTTAATTTGACGAAGAGCCTTAGCAAATCCTCTTATATTCTTTCCCTTCTGGTGACCAGCGTCCGATGTTGAGGAATTCGGAATAGTCACATTAGCAAAGATTAGACAACCTGAATCCCCAGTTGGATGGCTTAAATGAGCATCTTTCTCTCCTACACTAACTTCAGTTTGAGCCAACTTCGGCCGACTTGTGTCCACGTTTTTATCCCCAACTCGTTGCTTTTTCTTCTTTGTCTCCAACTTCTCTTTTTCCTTTATGCCTTCTACGTTACTAACTTCTAATTCCTTTGCCCCGTGTTTGGCTTTCAACTCTCGCCATTTACTCCTTCCCATGATACCTGCACATTATAGCAATACATAATACTTTCAGCTACGCATATACTTTCAATCAAGTTTAGATATTATTTTGTCACACTTACTCTCTAAATCCTCTTGCGGATTTTTCGATCCTGCAAGTAACAGGATAGCTTTGCTTTCTAAGGGCCGAGTTAGCACTTCCAATCTCTCTATATTCTTCTTCTCTTTCGCCGATAATACTAAACCTTCTGACCTAGAGAATCTCATAGGTTCTGATTGCCAACTCAGCGGAAATTTTGGTTCACCATTTGAGTGGAAAATTGAGTCCGAGTTCGCATCATTATGTACACATTGCACTTTAAAAAACTCTTCCTTGAACTTTTTATATGATTGGGAATAGATTTGGAACAACCCCCCATTCGAGCTCCCACTCAGCGATATCCACCCAAAGGGTGGCTCCCCTAATTTCAATTGATAAAAATGCATGAAGGTTCCCAAACTCGGATTCATTCCCATTATCGAGCACAAAATTTGGAAAGCACGTAGAAATCTCCAGCTATTAGGATCTAATTGACTCGGCGCTACATTAATCTTTTTTAGGAACTCACACTCAAACGGGGTAAAAGGGATCACTACCCCCAAATCCCTGAACACACATTGATACATATATATATACAGGGGAGATGTAGGTACCTTGAAAAATATACGTTCATCCGTTGAACAAGGCTCAATTGAAAGATGTTCTAAGTACGGAGGGAGGCAAAATTTCAATTTATGTTGTAACACACTCACCTCCATCTCACTCCTCACCCTACTCTCATACTTACCTACATCCCCTCTCACCCATTCATACCCAGTCACCAGAATTTTTGGGTGGGAATCTTTCCTGTTATTCCCACCCCTCTTTGGCATGCTAGCTTCGCCTCTTTTACTATCAGCAATTTTCCCCTTCGCCTTACCCATCCTACCAATCCCTTTACCAACCAAATCACAACAAAAAGTTCAAGAGAATAACGCTTGATACTTGGAATCCGTATGCTCTTGAAGACCTCTAACCCTTGAATATCCTATTCTCCACGACCCACCTTTCCTGCTACGATTATGGCGATTACTTCTTCACGCTTTCGTTTAAGAACAGTAACAGTAAAAAGCATTATCCGGTTCACTTGCATATATATATATATACTATCACACCCTTTCACTATCTCATGGAGAGCTGCGACTCTTCAATGGGGCGTTTCACGTGGCTCTAAAAGCCGCGCCTTAAATGCTCTGTCCCATCACACTTAATACTTATGATTGCGCGTCGTACCTGTTCGCGCTTCCCTATGGTACAGTTGTTGGCCTTCAAATGTTACACCCACTCATTCATTACACGTGTAACTCGTAAAGCTGTGACTCTTTGTGTGACCTCCCATCTCAGACGTTTGACGTCCTCTACTTAGTTCACTCAGCTCTCTCATTCTTACATCATTTAGAGCTTGGGGGGCTTATGTACCAACCTGGTTTAAAGCCGAGCTTAACCGAGCTCATTAGACAATCTTGACCGAGATGACTACCTAGTCAAACTAAAGTAAATATATTGAACGCTGAGGTGTTACATCGGAGAGGAGAGATTGGAAATACACCTCGGCATATGAACGACATCGAACATGACTCAACCGCCGATAACCCTCAGAAGATAACCATACATCAGTTACACGGTTACTCGGAAAACCACCATAGGTAATGATATAAGCAATACGTGAGATTGGATACGGAACTAACTTGATCGTCGGAATCCTTTTTGCAGGTACATCCGAGACGCTCGAGAAAGAAGATCAGAGAGTGAAGAATCACCATAGAAACCAACCTCGCACGACCTCGGCTAGGCTGGAACAGAGAAGACGACTTGCCCGAATCGGAGATCCGACCTGATTCGTGTAAGAACATTTATGTTCCTACCGTAAGTCCGCTGTCATCGTTAGGGTCACCGCATCCGAGGTATTGTTCGCTTTGGCGCTCGTTGGGCCGTCACGCTTTTGTCCTTGAAAAGGCGCATCGGTGGGTTAAGGAGGAAGAGTGTTTATAAACTACCCTTAGCCTCGACTCCTAAGCGATGTGGGACTTTTAGGCATACCGGAACACATTTAATCCATTTTAATTTGATGATTCAACTCGACTGAATCATTTTTGGTGATTCAACGCGACATAGTCATTTTTAGTGACTAATGGATATTTTGGCATCCTAACTAACATGACATCCATCAATAAGAAGACATCAATCAGTTGATAATGAAGAAATGGATGATCACAGGGCTGGTTTAAAATAATAAGATCAAATCAAACCTCCACTGATTCATAAAATCGAAAGAAGAGTTTGATATCCGCATTTATTTTCCACCTAACTTGTCTTTTTGTATTGTGAGAGGAATAAATTAGCTAATAAATACTCATGTTCGTTTGTTTTGGGTGTTAGTGCAAAAAGACAGAGTAGATAGAAAAAGTAAAGTCAAACCAGCTAATTCTCTGAATAGTCAAGTAGCTCCATTAACAAAGTGAACGAAGTTCAACTTTCTTCGTGTACTTTTTCTACTTTATGATTCTTCTATTCCTAACCAAAATGATTTTATGTTGAAAAGTTTCTGAATTTTCCGCTACTCAATGCGCAATCACTAGCATCAGCCAAAAGGCGTAGTGTGTTATCTTTCTCCTGTTTGGATATTTGCTTTTGCTTTTGCATTTGAGGTTGAAAACTTTGTCTTACTCTTCGATTGTCGAGTTTGTTTGTTTGCATAACCCGCATCCTTTTAGTCTTGAGGTGCATTTTGTTGATGGGTGCTTGTTGGAGCAGTAGGATTAAGGCTGTGAGTCCTTCCAATACAGGTAAGCTATTTCTTGCTTTGCATGTTAAATCATTTTGCTTCCTCCTGATATCTGAATGAGATAAATTACTTGTCGAGATTTAATTTTTTGAGTTGGGGTGAATATGTGGTTGATTGTCACAAACTTAAATTTGTTAACTTTATGAAGATTTGGTCTGCCTAGACATGCATGCTAGTCTCTATGACATCTTTGAGATCCATGCACTTTAAGGTTGCTATGTCTTATCTGAAGGGGTGATCTGTGTTTTTCGTAGTACAGTTTGATCTTTATATTCATTGAATGCCTAAATTCAAGATTTGGATCTTAATGTAAATTTTTAATTTTTTTTAACCCCTTTGAGAAGCCCTGCCCAGAAGTTGGGTTTTCATTGTGGTGATTCCTCGTGGAAAAAACTGTAATTTGAATTTGGAAGAAAATATAGTTAGCACATACAAAACTTAGATATAGTATCATAAGAATTGTTGGTGTTGTTCTCTAATTAAAATTGGAGTTTTGCATCAGCAATACGTGTTACATCTAATGGAATTCTATATTAAGCTTATTATTGAAGTGAAATTCTAATTTTGATTGAAAAATAATACTAAGAGTACATGTTATTATATCTAAGTTTTGTCTACAGTTTGTGGCTTTGGTTGGATTCCATGTAAATTTGGTAATGAGCGATGACCTTGTTTATTTTGTTTGTTGAAAATGTTAAGCGTTAAGGTGATTGGATTTTTGTGAACTTGTCTTGGTATGTATGCAGGGTTCACTTCAAGAAGTGTGAGCAGAGATGGCTATGACATCCACTCAGGTAGCAGGAACTCATCAGCCTCCATGCCCATGACCCCTCGGAGTGAGGGAGAGATCTTACAATCTTCCAATATGAAAAGCTACAGCTACAATGAGCTAAAAACGGCCACAAAAAACTTCTGCCTAGACAGTGTCTTAGGAGAGGGTGGATTTGGTTCAGTTTTTAAGGGCTGGATTGATGAACATTCGCTTGCTGTTACCAGGCCAGGAACTGGCATGGTTGTTGCTGTGAAGAGACTTAACCAAGAGGGGTTCCAGGGTCACAAGGAATGGTTGGTAAGTATCAATTCTTTTCTGGATACTCATTCAGTATCCCCCTTTATGAATGCATTCAAAGTATTGATTTTGAAAAGACACTTTAATGAGTTAAGGGAGGAAAGAGTTTATATAAATTACCATTGGCTTCAGTATTCTAAGTAATATGAGACTTTTTAGCATACCAAAACAGATACTATTGCACTTAATATGTTGATCCTATTTGAGGGGGTTTCGGTTAAACTCTTTATATTTGATAATTTTACTAGTTGTTTTTGCTTTGATTTTATTGTCATTTATGTTCTAATCATGCAACTTAAAAAAAGCACTTTTTGGATGACTAAATTAGGACAACAGATGTCCATATCTGATAGCTTAGGGGTTGATTTTCTTGTTTTATTTTGTAACTTGCAGGCTGAAATAAACTATCTTGGACAACTGCAGCATCCTAATCTTGTCAAGTTGATAGGATACTGCTTAGAGGATCAGCACCGGCTTCTAGTTTATGAATATATGCCTAAAGGCAGTGTGGAGAATCATCTGTTCAGGAGTCAGTACCATCTAGTTTATATGAATACTATTTTTCCACTGTTCATGTTAGAAATAATTTGGGTATCTTAGAATATCTCAATGTATAGTTCAATCAATTAATCTTGTAATTGCAAAACAATCTTAGGAGTTGGTTGCTAGTTTCATTATATTTCCTGATTTCTTTCCTTAGGCCTAGTCTTTGTACTAGTAGTGCTAATCCTTCTTTAAAGAGATTGTAATATTTCCTTAATCCCCCAAAGTTGACATTGAATGAAATCATCATTAATGCAGGAGGATCTCATTTTCAGCAGCTTTCTTGGACTCTACGATTGAAAATAGCCCTTGGGGCTGCAAGGGGTCTTGCTTTTCTCCATAGCACGGAAACTAAAGTCATATACCGTGACTTTAAGACCTCCAATATCCTGCTTGATACTGTATGTATATATTGCTTACTTGTCCAGGTCTTCATAATCATGTGGTTGTATATGATGGATTTAGCATGCAATCTCTAAGCTGTTTATTTGACTTATGTTTTGCAGAACTATAATGCCAAACTTTCTGATTTTGGGCTGGCCAGAGATGGACCAACTGGTGATAAGAGCCATGTTTCTACAAGGGTCATGGGAACCCATGGTTATGCAGCACCAGAGTATCTAGCAACAGGTACAATATCTGGTGTTTGACAAATTGGTTTCCTGATGACTTGCTTTTCAGATTTCCGTCCAACATTTTTCCATCTCAAAATATACCCTTTTTGTTGATGGACTATATATTCCAGGTTATTTTCTTTGTTTTGGTCTTATCTCTGAATAGGTGTTTACTGTGTACACATTATTACATTGAAAAGGTTTCAAACAAACATTTACATACAAAATACCATAAAGTTGTATTTACATTCTTCAAGCTTTTGCAGAAGGCCGATTAGTTTTGCTGGAACCACTTTTCTTGGGATATAATATCCTTTACACTTTCTACGCAAACTCTACTGTTTCAATTTTCATTTATAGATTTGTTAAACAACTAGATCACAACCACAATTAGCTTTTAACATGATTCAGAGAGATTTGTTAACAAGGAACACATAGTAAATAATATTCTTGAGAATTTCGTCTTTAACTAAGCCTAATGATGTCATGCGATTCATGTAACCTACCTTACCTGATGGGATAAGGTTTAGATAAATTATATTAACACCTCTAAAGTTTCATGAAATTACACGCAACGCTCATACTTTTTAATGTTTACAACAACATCCCTTATAGGAAATTAAAATCAATGCAATGTTCTTCAAACAATTAAGAGAGGTTCATGTTATATCTAAGGGATGTTAGTGTCTTATTTTTCAAACAATTAAGGAGAGTTGATGAAAGGATAGAAAAAACAAGGAGTTTAGTTTATCTACAATGTGACGAAACATCAGGAGTGTCAATGTAATATACTCTCGGGTTATATTGTCATTGTGTGCAAACAAGGAGGTGATGCATACTAAACTTGGATAGTAACTAATTCCTTTTCCCATTTCCACCAGGTCACCTAACTGCCAAGAGTGATGTCTATAGTTTTGGAGTAGTTCTTTTGGAAATGTTATCAGGAAGACGTGCCATAGACAAGAACCGGCCCTCAGGAGAACAATGCCTAGTTGAATGGGCAAAACCTTACCTCTCTAACAAGCGTAGAGTTTTTCGTGTAATGGATAGTCGTCTTGAAGGGCAGTATTCCCTCACACAAGCTCAGAGGGCAGCCAGCCTTTCTTTTCGATGTCTTTCTGTAGAGCCTAAATACAGGCCAAATATGGATGAGGTGGTGAGAGCATTGGAGCAGCTACTTGAATCAAATCATCAGCTGAAAAATGGTGATCATAAAATGCGTAGAGCAAGTGGTGATGGTCTTGGCCATCTCAATGGACTCACTCCATCTACTAGCAAAGGAGGTGCAGATTCTCCCAAAATGTTTGCTTATCCAAGGCCTTCTGCTTCTCTTCTCTATGCTTAAGTGGAGGAATTTTGTGATGAGGGGAGTGTTACTGTTTTGCAAGTGCATGCTTGAAGTTCTTAGGTGTGTCATGAACCATATTTATCAAGAAATGTATAGTTTCTTTTCTTTTTTCTTGTTTTGTTTTGACCTACATTTTGTCATTGTAATCCTGGTTGTTAGCATAGAGCCATCTAATCTTGAAAGGGGCGAATTTCTAATCATCCGCTAGGTGATGTTTTCTTATGCACAAAATGTTTGCAGCGTAGCTTGTGCAGATGATGCTCTATATTGTCTTTCTTTACACTGAAAGAGACGAGTATCACAAGTTGAGCTGTCCTTGAAGTTAAAAAAAAAATATTAATTCTAATAATGTAACTTGTAATGAAAAATACATGTATCAATGTGAATATATAATTTAGATTCATATCCCAGCCATTTCAACTATTCAAAAATCAAAATCAAATCTCTCTTACTTTGAATCTATTCCATCAAGGTTTAAACGGACACCAAGTCTCAACCATTTGAAGTCTTGTATTGTATCTTTCAAAATTTGGTTTAGATCTTACTTTTTGGGCAGTCTTGCCTAGCAGGTGTCTAGAATGATTAGCAATTCTTTTAGTTCGGCTCTTTATTGTAGTTTCTACTTAAGGCCTGATTGATAAGTTTTCTTGGAAACGCTTATAGAAGGGAAAAATAAGAAGAAAAATTAAAATAACTCATAAGTTAAAACTAATTTATGCATAAATTAAAAAGTAAGATTTTAGATAAACTAATAAGAGAGAGTTCCTAAAAATTAGTTTATGCATAAGTTAGTTTTATGTTTCAGAAAAATTAATTTTATTTTTTCATCTTATTTTACTCCCTTAAAAGTGTTTCTGGAGAAGTTTACACAAATAAATCCTTAGTATTAGAGTGAGAAATATGGAATAAGATTGTGGTTGGTGGATGACATGGGGAGAGATATAGTTTTATTGCATGAACATGATGCTTCAAAAACATATTATTACATAGAGTTCCTTATTATAACACGAGTCCAAATTGGATGCAAGTCATCTTGAAGCTCCATGGAGTAGCTTCTGTCTTATTTTCATTTGTAGATCAAATGAAAACCCCCTGATCTCTCCTGTGATGAAGACCTATCCAAAAACATTGTATGACAGTGAAAGGAACCATATTCCAAGTTGCCATATTTGAGGACCCAATATTCTTCATTTGTCTTCTTCTGAAGCATAAAAAGAGATGCATCCTTTCTGCAGTTCCTATCATTCAAGTGCTTCTGAAATGACCACATTTCTTCATTTATGACCTCTATTTGTTTATCAACATGTTTTAAAATTAAATTTCAGTACGGGCCGTTCTCCGTGTAAAACAGCCCGTTCTCAAGGGAGAACGGCCCGTTCTGCTTGGAGAACGGCCCGTTCTGCTTGGAGAACGGCTCGTTCTGCTTTGCTTGGAGAACGGCCCGTTCTGCTCTACTTGGAGAACGGCCCGTTATGATTGGAGAACGGCCCGTTCTGCTTGGAGAACGGCCCGTTCTCCTCGTAGAACAGCCTGTTCTCCTTGCAGAACGGCCTGTTCCAGGTTCGAAATTTACCAAAACTCAGCCTACAACGAAAATAGAGACGAGAAAAGCATGAGAAAACGAAAAGAGACACAACAAGAACATGAGAATACGAAAATGAAAACAAAAACGACAACGAAATTTACCTTATTGGAGACTTTAGAAAATGACAGCGTCACAGATTAAAAAAAGGAATGGAGGAAAAGATTAAAGAGAATGAAAATAGAGGGGAATATAAAAGATTTCTGACGATACTTTTAAAATCAGTTATTGAAGAACCGATTTTGTATACTGCATACAAAATCGGTTCTAAAATAACCAATTTTAAAAGTAGCACTTTTAAAATCGGTCATAAAATAACCGATCTTAAAAGTACTTTTAAGATCGGCTATTTTATAACCGATCTTAAAAAGTGCCACTTTTAAGATCGGTTAAAGATCAGTTCTTTTATAACCGATCTTAAAAGTACTTTTAAGATCGGTTAAATTTTAACCGATCTTAAAAGTGTTCATGTTATTTACAAATTTGCCACCGCGTCACTTTTAAGATCGATTACCTTGTAACCGATCTTAAAAGTCCGATTTTAAATCCAATTTTTGCACTAGTGTATCAAACTCTATAAATTGAACCCTCCATGTACAAACTCAACACTTGTGAGTATTGAATGAAATTGAGTTCAAATTTCTCTATCACAAGCTCTCAATTCTCTCTTAGGAGAATCTACTCCTTAATGAACTTTTATTAAGGAAATCCTCCTTGTGACAAGTTCTTCTTGTTGAGATTCATGGATGATGAATCAAGTTTTAAGAGTTTTGATGATAACAAAGGATACAAGCTTTGATGAGAACAAAAGAGAAGACATGAAGACCATGAATGAATACCAAATGTAATAAGAGTAGTTTATGTGCTCTTATGTGTTGAGTTGCTTTGTTGGTCAATTTTATTTTCTATGCATGTTTGTGCTTTGTGCATGAGTTAAATCTTAATTTTAATTGTTTAAAAGTGAGTATGATGATGATTAAAAGTAACTTAGAAAGGTTCTGAATGAGTGAAATTGAATTTTTTAGAACTAACTCAAAATAATCAATTATTACTTACAATAATCAATTATTTCAACTATGTTTTTCAAGAGGTTGAGAAACCTTGTTGTATTAATCGATTATCTGTGAAATAATCGATTATTCCAGAAAGTGCTCTCTGGAATAATCAGTTATCCTGCAAAATAATCGATTATTCTGTTCTTGAGTGATTTCCAGAATTTATGAAGAATAAAATAATCGATTATCCTTAAAAATAATCAATTATCTAGGTCTGGAAACTTTATAAAAATGGTTCTCACATTCAAAAACAAAAAGAGAAGAGAATAATTGATTTTGTGAAATCTTTGTGATAAACTTTTGATCTTTGTGATCTTCTTGGAGTGTTTTTTTTGTGATACCAAGAAGTAAAAAAATTTGTGAAATGCTTTGAGAGGAATCATCATCATCACTACATTCTTGGATAGAGGAATTAAGATTGGTCAAGAATTCACAGTCTGATTTGTTCAGCTTCTAGGTGAATTTGTTCCTTTAATCTTTTTGTGCATTGTGGTAAAAATTTTGAGTAGGTTTCTCAATTGGTAAGGAATTCTTGTAGTGGATTTCTACAAGAAGTGTTTTCTTAGGTGCAAGAAAGGATATATCTTGTATGTTGAAGTGTGTGCATGTGTGGTATGCTTGTAAAACTTCTTCATTGAGAGTGGAACAAATCTTGATTAGGTTATAATTGAGGACTGGATATGTAGGTCACATATTGAGTGGCTGAACCAGGATAAAATACTTTGCACTCTTCTCTCATCCTTATCTCTTACATTAAACAATCTTTATTTGAATGTTAAAATAAATGGTCTTGATTAATATGTTATTAATTGTTCTTTAAGCTAATTTAATAAAGATTAATCAAGAAATTATATAGGAGTCATTCCCATATACTAAGAGGTTCAATATACTTCATTGGAAATTATTTTTAGAAGAGTTTTAAAGAAATTAAGGTCCTTAAACTCTGATAAATTTTTTAAGTGTCATTAAATCCAATTCACCCCCTTGTTGGATTGAGCCATTCTTTTTTATCACTTCTTATCTTGCTTATCACCTTGAAGAGGCGTGCCATTCTCTCTTGTCTCTCCACCATTTTTGAGCTTGCTTTTAAGCTTAAGGATTTATGGATGAAGATTGAAGTATCAATGGAGCTAGCTAAAGAGAAGCATCAAGTCTCTCCTCCACTAGTTTCATCAAGTGGTAAAATTAAAACCAATTTATTATATCTTTTATCTCTTATAACTTTCTACATTCATTTAAAAAAAATTCTTAAGGAAACACCTATTTTTCTATTAGGGCAAAAAAGAAATTATAAAAATAATCTTTTAGGTGTAATTGTCCCAGTACCCTTGTACATTTTGTTGTAAATCACCTATTTATGCATCCAACCTTAGTTATACATATAAAATATATATATATATATATATATATAAGAACTAAAAACATATTTAAGCCTAAAATAATATAAAATAAAATAAAAAAATATAAATAAAAGACATTGAAAAAAAAAGATAAATTGAGAAAAACCTAAAAATATAAAGAATTACCCATCAATATTATTTACCACAACTAATTTAAATTAGTTAATCACTTCAACAATTAATTCCAGTTTTTAAATGAATATAAAAATGAAAAGAAAAAGAGAAAAAAATAAAAAGATAATTAAAAAATTTGAAGTCAATTTTTTGTAAAATGTATTTTAGAAAATCTAATTATAACATATTTTTCTTGACATCTACTAAATAGCATAACATTCCAAAATTAACAGTATTATAAATTAATTGTCATAATTATGTGTAAAAATGTTTAATATCTCTAGTGTTTTCAAATATTTTGATAGATATGTTTTTGAAGAATGAGCTGAATCAATTATATAATTAAATCTTGGAATAGAATATATCTTTTGATAAAAATTATTAAACAATAAATATGTAATTTTTTTTATTCAAACTATAAATATGTAATTTATTATGGGGCCTAAGGCAAGTGCCTATATGGCCCTGCATGTTACACGACCCTGCCAATTTGCCATATTTGTGAATCCAATATTCTTTATCTGTCATCTTCTGAAGCATAAGAAGAGATGCATCCTTTCTGCAGTTCCTATCTTTCAAGTGCTTCTGAAATGACCATATTTCTTCATTTATGACCTCTAATTGTTTACCAACATGTTTAATTTTGGTCTCAAGTGCCTGCTTTCTCTTCCTCATCTCTATTAACTCATCACAAATAATCTAACAAACAAAAAAGTTATGAGTTAGTCATTAAAAAGTAAGAAATGTTTTTCTCAACCAAGAACCAATGTGTAATTAATATTGAATACCTTCACTTGGTTTCTGGTGCTTTCTTTTAATTGTGCTGACTTTTTCCTTGTCACTTCAAAAAGTTTTATTTCTTTAAGGAGTTTATCACAAATGTTCTGTTTATAGTGATGATTGTAAGTACTATATTTCATCTGTACCTGGAGTTACCATGTATATAGTTCATAATAACCCAAACAATAAAAATAAAATGCCTTAAATTAGATAATAAATGAATGACTTAAATGGTAATAATTTAACATCAGTGTCATTTCATAAGGAAACAGAAGCTTAAAAAAAAGACCAAAAATAAATGGTATGGATAAAAAAATCATAATTTACATTTTTCAAGAGCTCTAAAAGAGGTGAACTTGATGCATCATCTATCTTCTTCTGGCACAGATTTTTATTTCTCAATAGCTGCTTCTCCTCACTCAATTTTTTATTCCCATGTAGCATCATATAATTCAACTTCTGAAGTTTTGGGGCACAACAATACAAGGAAAAAAGGGTAAAAAATTAAAGCAATTTTTCTAAGGATGTAACCAATACACTATTAATTTAGGTTATGCTCTAACCTTGTTATCAATCTCTTCTTCTGTTGTACATGACTTGATAGCTCTTCCCTTATATGGTTTATTTGCAACAGATAAATTGTCTAGTGCCAGATACAAATGATTCAGTATATCTATTATCCAAGCAGTTTTTTGATTGTGTCTATAAAGATAATACTTCTTCAAATCATTCAACCTTGAAAGCATCGTTTCCCGTTCAAACTGTTAACAGAAGCTTCAATAAAATAAGACTTTTGACCCCAGCCAAGCTCAAACTTTATAGTCTAATTTTTCTAAGAAACCATTTTTATAGTTTATCAAGATATATATGAAACATAAAATCTGGGTCGTTGTGACCTTAATGAAAAATTCAATATAGGGAAGAAAATAACCAATCATATTAATCGTGGCACATACCACTTTTTTTCTTATCTGCTCAGATATTTGGAGATGCAGTTCATCATTTTCCTCAAACAATCTCACTGCCGCTTGAATTAAGCCAATACCATCTGCATCTCTTGGCAAAATTTTAACAAAACAAAATGGTAGGAGTTGGTTAGGTACATTACGTGCAACATTGTCCTTTGATCCCATATTTTGTGTCACACTTTGACCACCAGATAATTGTATACTATGCAACAGATAGTCTTCTCCTTCCAACTGTACAATTATCCAGCTCCATTTTAGTAAGAGTTTAAATAAATATAAAAAAAAGTGGATTCATAAGTATGAGGTTTCGGGTTTCTATCTTTCAAATACATTCGAAGATATTAAATTAAGTAGATACTAACCTCAAGAGTTGGAGTTGTCTATTTCTTCGAGACACTTTTGCAAGAATTGAGACTAAGGATTATATCTTGAGATTGAAAGCAAAGTTTTCCGTTGTTAAATATAGGCACTATAAAGTCAACTCTCTTGCACCCCACGTCAAGTTAGCCAATTTTAAGTATTGTGGTGAACAATGGCGATGAATGATGTATATATTATAATGTTCATGATTTGGCCTTCAAGTGATTGGCCTGCATGCTCTGAGTTACCTTTAAACTTTTCACCAAAACAACTTACAACAATATAACTACTCCGTCAATGCTAGACAAAACTTTAATTAGGTCCATCAAAAGAATAATTATTAATTTTATAAAGTAAAAATGTCATGTATGTTGAGTAGAAGACCTCATATGTTTGAAGAATCAAGAAAGGGAAAAAAAATCTCTTAAAATTTGTTTGGAACCTCATTTATGGTGGAGTCTAATTCGACTGCCTAGTTCTTTGTATATTTTAAGGGTAAATTACGTATGTATTTATGAATTTTAATCACATAACTTAAAAACTTGTGTAAATAATATTTTTGTTATGAAAATCAACATAATTATAATTTAGAAGAAAGGGAGATAGAAAATACTTAATAAAAAGAACAATAGAATGAGAATAGAGAGTTTCTTATATTATTTTTTCAACAATGAGATAACTTATTTATAAACATAAATTGTAATTAAACGATTACAGATAATTTACTAGTATTAAGGTGAAATTTAAATAGTTATAATGAACAGCCTCAATTAAATATTTTTAACACTCATTTGGATGTTTATTGTTTGAGAATGTATTTTAGTAAAATTTCCTTAAGAAAAATATCGTGGGACAAAAATCTAGTAAAGGAAAAAGAGTATATTATTTTTAAATACATTATCGTATACTATCTCATAAAAAATTGACCGTATAACCTGGAGAGACAATTTTGACAGCCATCAACAATATACATCATTATGATTGGACAAGATTGAAAAGAAAGAAAAGGATAATGTAGAATGAATGGGTGGTTGAGGTAGGTTAGTGTTTAAGTTTTTAAACAAACATTTTTCCTTGGATAATTATTATAATCATTCTCCTAATTATCTTGGACTACATATCTGAGTCTCAGGCAGAGTTTTCGTAGAATTTGGCCCCTTGTAGAAGTGTTCAAGCTGCCTTTTGGCTTTCAACTATGAGAATCATCACTTGCTATTTTTATCCTTTTTAGATCCCTAATTTTTTCCTAGGATGTGTCCTAGAGGGAACTTTTGGTCTCCTTTTTTTTTCCTAGGATGCCCTTTGCGAGTTTTCATCCTAGTGGTATTTTGCAAGCGATGTTTTTTTTTTCAGGCATAACACTTCTTTGCTTTGACAAAACCTCCTACCATCTGCGTTTGGGAGGACTAGTGCCTTTGATGATTAACACTGCCCCCGTCCCATACACCAAGGAGAAAGATGCTGCCCTAGACTACGGGTATTGGGAGTTCTTTTATGGATCGAGATTTATGCTTCCTTTATCAAGCCAAATTGAGTTGAAGTTTTTGTAAGACTCCTCTTGTGCAATGAGAATCTGATGATTTTGCATCAAATCACTTTCTCATCTTTGTGTGTTTCGAGGAAGTGATCTTCTTATCTACCTCAGACTCAAACAATGCGTCATAGATGTTCGAAATTTGATTAATGTTATTATCTTCAGTCATGTTTATTTTTTTATTTTTTATTTTATTGTGATTGGTTTCAGAATTTAATATGTGGGAAGAGGGGGAAAAGGATAACCACAAAGATTTGTATAAATGACGTATGTTATTGATGAATGAAAAAAACTTGTACAAGCCCTTATTTTGTTTGAACTCATGACCGTGGGCAAAGGTCATGAGTTGAGGAATTTTTTTTTTGAAGAAGAGAGCCCCTAACAACTTCGTCGTTCCAAGATGATTACTCATCTAGTCATTCCTTGATATGTGCTGTGTTGGCCTCAAACTTGAGCTGCCTGGCGTCGATAAGCTCTTGTACACGAGATTTCAAAGCCTTGCAATTTTCTATGCAGTGGCCTACTGCCCCGACGTGACAATCACAAGTTCCCTTTTCGCCTAGCTTTCTTTGTGGGGGAATAACTCTGTCTAGCTTATAGGAATTGTATCAAGTTCCCTTTTCGCCTTTGGTGATGCTTAGGTCGTTCGAGGAGTAGCGGAAGAGGTTAGAACATTGATTTCATTTCCCCTAAAAATCTTCTTATACTCTTGGCTTTCGGGGGAATTTCCTATCTTCCCACTTTTTAGACCTTGCTCGACTCTCTCCCCGATAGTGACTATGTCGGCAAAGAGAGTTGAAGTGTTCCTTATCATCTTGTGATAATAGGGTCCACTTAAGGAGTTGATGAACATTGTCACCATCTCCTTATCAGATAATGAAGGCTCTACTTGTGCAACCATTTCTCTCCATCTTGGTGCATATGTTTTGAAAGACTCGTCGCCCTTCTTGCTCAAACTTTGTAAATCAGACCTATTAGGAATTAGGTCGATGTTGTACTTGTTCCAACGGAGAAAAACGTCGGCTAGCTGTTTCCATGTCTGGATCTTTCGTTCATCCAGTTGCATGTACCAGTTGAGAGCAGCATTTGAAAGGCTTTCCTGAAAATAGTGTACCAGGAATTTTTCATTGCCTACATAGGCTACCATCTTCCTACAATAAATTGTCAGATGTTTTTGGACAACTGGATCTAGTGTACTTTTGGAAGTTAGGGATTTTGAACTTCGTGAGAAATTGGATGTCCTACACCAAGTACATATCCGCAGCCTCTTGAACGTCAAAACTATGGTCTTCCACAACTCTCAACCTTTCTTCCAAGGCATTCAGATGATCCTTGGAAACATCACTAACGTAGCTGGCACTATTATTGCCGTGCTGCAATATGTTCATGGCCTCGAGCATTCTAGCCATTTGTTCCTTGAGTTGTCCAAGCTCTTCATTGAGGACACAATTTCTTTCCTCTAGGTCTTCCATAGCTTTTATCTTTTGAGCTGGTGTGAGTACAGAACGTTGAAAAGCCATCTTTGAGGGATACGATAATTTCCTATTAAGCTTATCTAAATGATAATACATGAAGGAGGTCTATCAACAAAGACTTCGTAACCACTCCTTTGAACGTGAAATCATAGTGTCCCTTTTTGTAATTTTTTATGATGTGACAAAGGTGACACTAATTGGAGTTCATTAGTCTTTGTGAGAAATCTCCTAGTGATCCTAGGAATGTATATGGTATGCATGTCCCTCCTTTTCATTCTCTCTCTTTCTATTTCTTTTTTATTTTTTGATTTTTTTTTATATTTTGGAAAATGCATGATGCCTTTTTTTTAAGAAGGGATGCATGCTTCTCGCAGATCTTATTTTCACACTAAGTTTTCTCTCATGATAATTCATATTTTTTTTTGTGTTTTTCTTTAAAACTCAGCCTACAACGAAAATAGAGACGAGAAAAGCATGAGAAAACGAAAAGAGACACAACAAGAACATGAGAATACGAAAATGAAAACAAAAACGACAACGAAATTTACCTTATTGGAGACTTTAGAAAATGACAGCGTCATTATCTTTTAAAATCAGATTATTTTTTTATTTTACATTTTATATAACTATAATTCTATAATGTGTTATATAACACCGACCTAAATATATTTTTAGTCTTTGTAAAATGAACGAGTTTAGATTTTGGTCCTAAAGTATATAAATAACATTTTATTTTAAGAATTTGTGAAATTTTTTAGATGTGCCACACACTAGTATAATATTACTAACAATTGTAGGTAGTAAGTGAGATTTAGTACTTAATATTTTAATATATAAAAAATAGTAGTTAAAAATATTACATAATAATAGAGACTAAAAACAATAATTTTAAATTTTAGGAAGATGAAAAATAATATATATATATATATATATATATAAGAACTAAAAACATATTTAAGCCTAAAATAATATAAAATAAAATAAAAAAATATAAATAAAAGACATTGAAAAAAAAAGATAAATTGAGAAAAACCTAAAAATATAAAGAATTACCCATCAATATTATTTACCACAACTAATTTAAATTAGTTAATCACTTCAACAATTAATTCCAGTTTTTAAATGAATATAAAAATGAAAAGAAAAAGAGAAAAAAATAAAAAGATAATTAAAAAATTTGAAGTCAATTTTTTGTAAAATGTATTTTAGAAAATCTAATTATAACATATTTTTCTTGACATCTACTAAATAGCATAACATTCCAAAATTAACAGTATTATAAATTAATTGTCATAATTATGTGTAAAAATGTTTAATATCTCTAGTGTTTTCAAATATTTTGATAGATATGTTTTTGAAGAATGAGCTGAATCAATTATATAATTAAATCTTGGAATAGAATATATCTTT